TTTTAATGCCATTCCAATCAAAATTCCACCGGTATTTTTCAAGGAGCTGGAGCAAATAATCCTAAAATTTGTATGGGAATCAGAAGAGACCCCCGAATCGCTAAGGAAATGTTGAAAAACAAAAATAAAACTGGGGGCATCATGTTACCTGATTTCAAGCTTTACTACAAAGCTGTGATCACCAAGACAGCATGGTACTGGCATAAAAACAGACACATAGACCAGTGGAACAGAGTAGAGAGCCCAGATATGGACCCTCAACTCTATGGGCAAATAATCTTCAACAAAACAGGAAAAAATATACAGTGGAAAAAAGACAGTCTCTTCAATAAATGGTGCTGGGAAAACTGGACAGCTATATGTACAAGAATGAAACTCGACCATTCTCTTACACCGTACACAAAGATAAACTCAAAATGGATAAAAGACCTCAACGTGAGACAGGAATCCATCAGAATCCTAGAGGAGAACATAGGCAGTAACCTCTTCGATATCAGCCACAGCAACTTCTTTCAAGATATGTCTCCAAAGGCAAAGGAAACAAAAGTGAAAATGAACTTTTGGGACTTCATCAAGATCAAAAGCTTCTGCACAGCAAAGGAAACAGTTAACAAAACAAAGAGGCAACCCACGGAATGGGAGAAGATATTTGCAAATGACAGTACAGACAAAAGGTTGATATCCAGGATCTATAAAGAACTCCTCAAACTCAACACACACAAAACAGACAATCATATAAAAAATGGGCAGAAGATATGAACAGACACTTCTCCAATGAAGACACACAAATGGCTATCAGACACATGAAAAAATGTTCATCATTAGCCATCAGGGAGATTCAAATTAAAACCACATTGAGATACCACCTTACACCAGTTAGAATGGCCAAAATTAGCAAGACAGGAAACAACATGTGTTGGAGAGGATGTGGAGAAAGGGGAACCCTCTTACACTGTTGGTGGGAATGCAAGTTGGTGCAGCCACTTTGGAAAACAGTGTGGAGATTCCTCAAGAAATTAAAAATAGAGCTTCCCTATGACCCTGCCATTGCACTACTGGGTATTTACCCCAAAGATACAGATGTAGTGAAAAGAAGGGCCATCTGTACCCCAATGTTTATAGCAGCAATGGCCACGGTCGCCAAACTGTGGAAAGAACCAAGATGCCCTTCAACGGACGAATGGATAAGGAAGATGTGGTCCATATACACTATGGAGTATTAGGCCTCCATCAGAAAGGATGAATACCCAATTTTTGTAGCAACATGGACAGGACTGGAAGAGATTATGCTGAGTGAAATAAGTCAAGCAGAGAGAGTCAATTATCATATGGTTTCACTTATTTGTGGAGCATAACAAATAGCATGGAGGACAAGGGGAGATGGAGAGGAGAAGGGTGTTGAGGGAAATTGGAAGGGGAGGTGAACCATGAGAGACTCTCCATTCCCTCAGCCTTCTTCCTCAGCTGCCCCTGTCCTCTCCCTCAGAATTACATTTTCTGCCTCTGTCTCTCTTTTTTCTTTTTTTGGAGGGGGGCAGTCCTAGAACACAGTGCCTGGCACATAATAGGCGCTCAATAAATACTTGTTGTTTGTTGAATGTCTCCTCTCTTCCACTCTGGGAAACCTAGATTTCTGCCATTCTCAGTAACCCTGTATTTCCTTTTGGTGTCCCCTTCTCCCATCTGTCCAGTTGGTATTTCCCTTTGTTTTATAAGATAATTCTCCAAGAAGCTGGGTCTCATCAGATCCCATCTAGAACCAAGTGCTTAAAACCCAGTAGATGCACACCATCCTAAGCCCATGTGGTAGCCCCGGGGAAAGGAAACAAAGCTACCTCATAGCAGTAGAGGTACCTCTAAGGAAGGGGTAGGCTTTTCTATTCTAGAGCAGTTTTGGAGAGGGATATCCAGGCTCTTGAGTCCTAATTTCCAGGAATTTCCCTGCTCCTCTCAGCTTCAGGAGAGGTGTTGACAGTATTATCTCTATCTTTCCATCTTCTTCCAAGCTGTGTCCTGAGCTGTTTCTTTTGCAGGGGTCTGCCCCACCCTGTTAAAGCAGGATCCTTCCCTTTTCCTACAGAACCACCTTCATATGTTGGATTCCTTCCTTTTCCCCTGGTTGGAGAAGGGGGCCAAGAAGGGGAAGAGGGACTAGCCTCCAGAAAGATCCTCCCCATCCCCACCCTTTCTTAGCAAACACCCAGCTCTGCTGTGTATATACAGAAAGGTTTGTACTGCCACCTAAATCTTTTGAATCATTCTTCCAGAGAGGGGACAAGGAGACCCTCCCATCTTTGGCAACATCTCATTTTTTCCTTTTGCTATTCCCTCCCCTGCCCTTGGCTTTATCCTGTCCTACACTTCAAATTTCTATTTTGTGTTGAACTTGCTTTTTTTCATATTGAAAAGATAACATTGCCCCAAGAGCCAAAAATTAATGACAACTGGAAAAAAAAAAAGATTTAATGACATGGTTATATTTAATGATAGGGGCTCGTGATAATAAAGTAAACTAGAAGTATGATAAATTGCATATTCAGTATACCCCAAATTTATTAAAGCATCTATAATATTCTATATTATTTTTTAAACAGCAGAAGTGACCCAAATGTTAACAGCTATTTCTGCATGACACTGGACTTTGGGTGAAATCTTCTGGATTTCTTGGATCTTCTAAATTTTCTATAAGAAGCATGTATTGAGTTTTATAATAATAAATATTACTTTAAGAAGGAAATGTTATATGTGAAATGTGTTCAATCCCCATAGATGTTCAGAGCATAGCTTCTGAGCCTGACTACCTGGGCTTGAATCTCTATACTCCATAAGCTCATAGCCGTGAGGTTTTGGCCACTTCATCTCCCTGTGCTTTGGTGTCCTTACCTGTAAAATGGGACAATACAGTCCTGAACAGGTGGGATTGTTCAAAGAAAGAGAATTCATACATACCAAGGGCTTGGGACAGAACTTGGCACATAGTAAGTTACTAAAAAAATGTTTGTCATCTCATATATTTGACAGAGGAAAAAATTATGGATGTTCAGTGCTGGTAAAAATGTAGATGGCAGTCCTCATGCTCAATTTGTCCCAGGCAGACTGGGTCCAGTCGATTTGGAAAGCAATTTGACAAAATGTTCCAGTATTCAGGAAAATCATTAGAATCGTGCTTCTCCTATTTCCATCCTGGGAATATGACTTAGAGAAATAATCTCCTGAGAAGAACAGAGGAAGCAGGTGTGGAAATACTCATTCCAACATTCATAATTAGGAAAACCGGTGAAGCACCTGTGTCAACGAGGGGCTTAGAACAAAACCCATGTGGGAGAATGGACTTGTAAATTTTACACCCCCCAATGAAATATTATTAGCCCGAATGATGAGGAGTATGAAGTGTATGGGATTACAAAAGACAATGCTCAGGGTGTAACAGGGGCAAATCAGAGAAGCCAAAATTGTTTCTACACTCTGATCACAATGAAATAAAAGAACACTTATTTTAAGATAATACTTGAAAAAGAATAAAAAAAATCAAGACCATAGGACTTTTGAGGGTGGCCAAGTTGAGGATGAGTATATTGCTTTTGTTTCATTATTAAAAATATGGATATGGGGCACCTGGGTGGCTCAGTGGGTTAAGCCTCTGCCTTCGGCTCAGGTCATGATCTCAGGGTTCTGGGATCGAGTCAGCAGGGAGCCTGTTCCCCTCCTCCGCCTGACTCTCTGCCTACTTGTGATCTCTGTCAAATACATAAATAAAATCTTTAAAAAATATATATTGATATGGAAGACAGAGTAAAACAGAGTAAAACAAAACCAGGAAGAAATAAACGCAAAATGATGGGCTCTCCCTGGGCTAAATGGTTACAGGGAATCTGTATTTTATTCCATACTTCTTGATACTTTCCAAATTATCCTTTACAATAAGCATATGTTATTTTACTTAAAAGTTTCCTGTTATAAAAGTATGTGCATTATTTTTATAATAAAATATAAACACTATGGTTTTTTTGTTTGTTTTTGGGTGGTTTTTTAGAGAGAGAGAGACAGAGGAGAGAGAGAATCTTAAGTAGATGCCACATTCAGTGCAGAGCCTGACTTAGGGCTTAATCTCATAACCCTGAGATCAAGGGTTAACGGACTGAGCTATCCAGGCACTACCTGCCCCTTTTTTAAACATTATGTTTTTATGATGAAAATATGATGAAAGAAAAACTTACTTTGGGGCATGAAGAAAAACAGAAAATGATGCTTAAGACGGCAATTCCTTTATAAAGCATAAATCCTGGACTGAGAAAGATGCACAAAATAAGCCTTTAAAAATGACTGTAAATAGTGGAACATACTGTGTTTAAGCCAACTGCAGATTTGGTCATGAAATTTGTAGCTTGAAGTTTTGTAGGATACTAAAATCTAGTGTTGATGTTCAGCTACATAGACTTGTACTCTAAAGGGTTAATCTTTCCAGTTGTGATTTTTTTCTTGAATTTTCAAGCTCCAATTTAATAACTGATCGATAAATTTAAAAAGTTCACAGAGAGGCACCTGGGTGGCTTGGTGGGTTAAGCCTCTGCCTTCGGCTCAGGTCATGATCTCAGGGTCCTGGGATGGAGTCCCGCATCAGGCTCTCTGCTCGGTGGGGAGCCTGCTTCCTGCCCACCCCACTCCCACCCCCTGCCTGCTTCTCTGCCTACTTGTGATCGCTCTCTGTCAAACAAATAAATAAATTCTTAAAAAAAAAAAGTTCACAGAGACCTTGTTAAAGATGTCAGATGATGTCTCGTTCCATTTACACCACCCTCTGGGGACGCCATAAGACTGAAAAATAGGGGGGAAGCTGAGATTTTAGTAGGGAGCTCCTAAAATGATCAGAAGGTGTCCCAGCAGGTGATCAATGGCACCAGCTCCTTGTAGGAAACAGAGAAGCAACTCTCTCTCACAGTATACCGTGTTAGGGTTCCTCTCTGGGAGGAAGTTACTGGTGCTGATGAAGGCTGCACTGAACCCAGCATCAGAATCGCCCACCTGCTAATTTCTTAGGCTTTCTGGTCAGCGAGAGTTCTCGGAATATCAGCAAGCTGTGTGCTCCATGCAAAGGCTTTCTCAAAATCATTGCAGACGTAGGTGCTGTGCATAGTGTGAAGCCTCCGGTGTTTGGTCAGGTGTGAACTCCAGCTGAAATCCTCCCCACATTCCTTACACACATAGCGTTTTCCACCCACGTGAACCTTCTGGTGTTGAATAAGGTGTGAAATCTGGGTGTAGGTTTTTCCACAGTTGTTACATTTATAGGGCTTCTCTCCGGTATGGGTCCTTTGATGCTGAATAAGGTGGATGCTCTGGTTGAAGGCTTTCCCGCATTCCTTACAGGCATAAGGTTTCTCGCCAGTGTGAATTCTCTGATGTTGGGTGAGGGAGGAGTTGTGACTGAATGTTTTCCCACATTCTCTGCACTTGTAGGGTTTCTCGCCCGTGTGGATTTTCTGATGCTCGATAAGGTGTGTGCTCCGGCTGAAGGCTTTCCCACAGTCGCTGCACTCATAAGGCTTCTCTCCAGTGTGAATCCTCTGGTGTTGGATGAGGTGGGAAATCTGGGTATAGGACTTCCTGCAAACTTTACACTCATAAGGCTTCTCCCCAGTGTGAATCCTCTGGTGGCGGATGAGCGAAGAGTTCTGGCTGAAGGTTTTTCCACATTCGTTACATTTGTAGGGCTTCTCACCAGTGTGAATTGTCTGGTGTTGTGTGAAGGACGAGGTGTGACTGAAAGCCTTTCCACATTCATTACATATATAGGGTTTTTCTCCCATGTGAACACTCTGGTGCCTCATGAGGTGGGAAATCTGTGTATAAGCCTTCCCACACTCATTACACTCATAGGGTTTCTCACCAGTGTGAATTCTCTGATGCTGAGTCAGGGATGAACTGTGGCTGAAGGCCTTGCCACACTCGGAGCACTCATAGGGTTTCTCTCCCGTGTGAACTCGCTGGTGCTGGGAGAGGGATGAGCTGTGGCTGAAGGTTTTCCCACACTCGTTACATTTGTAGGGTTTCTCTCCGGTGTGGATGGTCTGGTGCTGAGTCAAGGAGGAAGTGTGACAGAAGGCTTTGCCACACTCAGCACATTTGTAGGGCTTCTCTCCTGTGTGGATTTTCTGGTGGCGGGTGAGGTGGGACACCTGTGAGTAGAACTTCCCGCACTGGTCGCATTTATAGGGTTTTTCCCCAGTATGGCACCGCTGGTGTTTAATGAGGGAGGAGCTCTGGGTGAAAGCCTTCCCACATTCCTTGCATTTGTATGGCTTCTCTCCAGTGTGGATCCTTTGATGCTCAGTAAGCGATGAGCTCTGAGTGAAGGTCTTGCCGCACTCACCGCACACGTAGGGCTTCTCTCCCGTGTGTATGATGTGGTGCTGAATGAAATATGAGCTGTTGCTGAATGCCTTCCCGCAATCATTGCACTTGTAGGGTTTCTCTCCTGTGTGAATCCTCTGGTGCAGAATATAGTCTGAATGGTAAATGAAGGTTTTCCCACATTCTATGCAGTTAAATGGCTTCTTTTCTATGAAGGTCCTTTGGCATTTCAGGATCTTTCTTGGTCCATTCCTCTTCCGAGTTCTCTCTCCCACTGGCCCTCTTTGCTTCTTGATGAAGGCTGAGGTCTGTCTGAAGCTCTGCCCCAGCTCGAGACACCCCATGTCTCTCTCCCCACAGATGGTTTCCTTGCGAGGAGCAAACAAACACCTCAAACGCCTCTCTTGCTTTCCCTGGTCCTCCAACTGACAGCTCCAGGCCCAGGATCCTCCCAGCCTGGCATCTCCAAGCACTACCCTTAAAACCCCCTCCTTCTTTCCCACAGGGGAAGTAGCCTCTTCAGAAACGCTCTCTCTCAGAAGTGTCTCCTGAGGTGTTGCAGAGCTGGTATCCAAGGCTGAAAGACATGGAAAATGTGACTATCATCTGCATCGGACCAAGGACACTGATTAAGTTGAACTGACACTGGAAAACTTTAAAAGGCAAGTTTCAAAGTTTAGGTAGCTCTTTCAAAAGGCAGGAGAGATTTGTGTTGTGACATGGAAGGATGGCTTCCAAATATCCTAAAAATAAAAATATGTTTTTTAAAAAACTTTTTACCTATTTATTTGAGAGAGTGAGTGAGCAAGGGCATGAGCATGGGGAGCAGCAGAGGGAAAGGGAGAAGCAGACTCCCCCGCTGAGCAGGGAGCTTGATGTAGAGCTCGATCCTGGGATCATGACATGAGCAAGAGACAGACACCTAACCAACTGAGCCACCTAGGCACCCCCACCCCCCACCAAGTTGGAGCATTTTGAACTTATTAACTTTTTTATTGTGGTAAAATACATACAACATAAAATGTGACACTTAGGTCATTTTTAGGCGTGCTGTTGGGTTGCATGTGTGCACTCACGCTAGGGTGCAATCATCACCACCACCATCACCACCATCCACCTCCAGAACCTTTTCATCTTCCCAGACTGAAACAGTGTACTCATTAAAAACTAACGCCCGCTGTTCCTTCCCCAGCCCCTGGGCACCGCCATTCAACTCTGGCTCAATGAATTTGCCTCCTCTAGGCACCTCATGTAAGTAAGCCAGACACAAAGTGACAATACTTGTCACTTTGTGTCTGGCTTATGTAATTTAGCGTCATGTCCTCAAGATTTTTCATGTTGTTATTATTTACTTTTGTAATTAAAAAGGGGGGGGAGCTCAGTTGGTTAAGTGTCTGCCTTCGGCTCAGGTCCCGATCCCAGGGTCCTGGGATCGCGCCCTGCATTGGGCTCCCTGCTTGGCGGAAATCCTGCTTCTCCCTCTACCACTCCTCCTGCTTGTGTTCTCTCTCGCTGTGTTTCTCTCTGTCAAATAAATAAATAAAATCTTTTAAAAAATATAGTAGAGCTTTGGGGTAAAATGAGAAAAGTAAATTTTTTTGAGAGAGAAGCAGCATTATGGGGAGAGTTTCATTTCCTGCCTTATTCTTATTTAGATTTTCAAAGTTTCTGTGATGAACACACATAACTTTAATTTGATCAAGAGATATTAATAAATAGGGGTGCCCGGGTGGCTCAGTCAGTTAAGTGTCTGCCTTTGGCACAGGTCACAATCTCAGGGTCCTGGGATTGAGCCCCGTGTCAGGCTCCCCACTCAGCAGGGAGTCTTCTTGTTCCTCTGCCCCTTTCCCTGCTTGTTCTAGCTCTCTCTCAAATAAATAAAGCCTTTTTAAAAAAAGGTCAATAAATATTAAATGTGTGTGAGGCTTTTACAGCACAATATTGCAATTTGGAGAAAGGGAAGTATAGAGAAGAGATGATAAGCAGGAAGCATATCCATGTGGGATTTGTTGAAGGGGATGGATTTTTTGATGCTAGTAGATCTGTTCTTGGGACCCCTATTAATTGCAAAACTGTTATGTGCTAACCACAGTGCTAGGGTTTGCTGTCAGGGGTACTAGGGAGCCATGGGAGGGCTGTGAGTAGGGGAGGAGTGGGATTAGCTCCAGGTGTGGAAAAACCCCTCTCAGGCTGTGTGAGATGAACGGGGGGCTGGGAGGTGAGGGAGGAGGCTGGGCTGAGGGTCCAGCCAGGGGAATCTGAGGCCTGAGCCAGGGCTGTGGGAGACAGCACAGCAGTCTGGGAAAAGTTAGGGGCAGGAGGGCAGCCCTGGGGACCAATGGGCTGTGGTGAAGGGGAAGGAGGGGGCAAGTCTCACCCCACAACATGGTGGACAGTGATGGAAACAAAGAAGCTCCAACCCCCTCCCCTCATGGAGTTTGTGAGCCAGTGGGGGGCAAACATCTGGACTCCTGTCCCCCAGCATGTCCAGCGGGGTCCCACTTTTGGGTCCCTACACAGAAGATTCCCGATAAAGAATCACCGATCATCATTGTAGCCTATTCTGACCAGGGGGGTTACCATGTGCCAGGTGCTGGGCTATACTTTTATGTGTTCATTCATTCATCTTTCCCAACCCGGGGTACTATTACTGACCTCATTTTGCAGGGAAGGAAATCAAGGCCCAGAGGGGCTAAATGACCTGCCCGAAGATCACAGAGCCAGGAAGTTCTGGAGCTGGGATTTGAGCCCACTGCCCACGACTATGGCTGTGTGTGACGCTGCCTCGTTCTTGTCACTGATCCAGACACACAGGGTAGGCAGATGGCTCACATCTGCTGGACGAACTCACCCACCTGGACAGGCAGCTAGCTGGGCTTCCCTCTTCTCCATTCTGGGCTCCTCCCCTCGCTCCAGACGGGATATCACGTCAGGTTTGGACCCAGGAGGCCCGGCCCCTGGAAAAGATACCAGATTTGGCCATGGCTGGAAGTCATCAGGAGGCCTCAGAGCTCAGCCCCAGGCCCTGGGTCTGCAGGGGAGCTGTATACATTGGGTGCCTAATGATGAGAAACTCTAATGTTCCAGGCATGTGGGCGGCTCAGTCGGTTAAGTGTCTGCCTCTGGGTTTCAGCTCAGATCGTGATCTCAGCATCCTGGCTCCACGCTCAATGGGAAGTCTGCTTGAGATTCTCTCTCTCTCCCTCTCCTTCTGTCCCTCCCTCCACTCGCAGTCTCACTCTCTCTAAAATCCATCCATCCATCCATCAATCAATCTTTGGTTCTGCGCTGTTCAAGCTGATGTGAGGTACACACTGAACTTTAAAGACTGACTTACCAAGGAGAAAAATAGAAAAATATCATCAATAATTGGCACATTGATTATCATCTCAACAGGTGTCAAAGTGGCCATCCTTTGGATGGGCCGGGTACAAGAAAATACATCCCTAAAACTAATCTCATCTCTTTCTATCTCCTTTTTTTTATGCCTGCTGTCTTTGAGACCACACTGACTTCCCTTTTCCCAGAGTGGGTTGAACAGGGCTCTCCCAAAATTTCGTCCACAGAAACTGCAGAATGTGACCCTACTCGGAAACAGGGGCTTTGCAGCTGGAATTAGTGATGAGGTCCTCTGGGAGCAGGCTGGGCCCTGAGTCCAAAGACCGGTGTCCTTGTTTGAAGAGGAGAGACACACAGACACACGTGGAGGGAAAAGGTCATGTGAAGATGGAGGCCAAGACTGGGGTGAGGGGGTACAGGGCAAGGAACAGCAAGGGCCGCCAGGAGCCTCCAGAAGCTGCATCCAGGAAGGACTCTGGCCTGGACCCTCCAGAGGGAGCAGGGCCCTGACCACAGCTGGATTTTGCACTTCCGGCCTCTGAACTGTGAAGAAATATATTTCTGCAGGGGACAGGCAAAAGCAACCTCACTCTTTACACCTAACTTGTGCAGAAAAGGGGTCACACAGCAGGCTCTCCTTGGAAAGGCCTGCTCACAAGGCAGCCTGCGGCTGGTGTCTGGGCAGCTGGGTTTCAGGAGGGTTCTCAGTGTTCCCTGACCGACAGGAGGGCTCCCCGTGCCCAAGCTGCTGGGCGCACAGCATGGTTTCTGCTGAACCCCTGCTTTCCTTTGGGGAGTCTAGAGTTTGGCCGCTGACGTGACAGGACCTCAGTGAAAACCCTGGGTGCTGACCGGGGAGGGGTGGAGGTGGGAGGTTTCTAGCGAGCGTCCCCTGGTGGACAACACCTCAAACGTACTATCACATCCTGCTGGATGTTCTGCGTGACTCTTTGGGGAGGGGACTCTGCCTGGTCTCCCCCAGACATCGCCCCACATGGCTTATCTCTTAGCTGACTGCGCTTGGTGTCCTTTCGCTGCAGTGTGAGTGCAACTGAGGCCTGGGGGGCCTCCCTCCTCAAGCCCCCAAACCTGGGGGCTTTCCTGGGGTCCCTGATGCAGAAGTTTAAGCCGGTTTTTGGTGAGTTGTCCAGTGAAAGTGTGTGAGTGAGGACGGCTGAAGAAGGAGCTTCAAAGCACCAGAGCTTACAGGGAAAAGGCCAGATAGAAGAATCAGAAAAAGAAGTTGAGGAGAGACGGAGGTGGCCAGACAGATAGCTGAAGAGGCCAGAGTGGGTCAGGGCGGGGCTGCAGGGACAGAGAGGAGGGGATGGGCAGAGATTGTTGGGAGGCAGAGAGGATGTGGGGGGCTGTTGAGGAGGGGGTAGGGAGGAGCAAGGATGGGGCTGGGGGTGTCTGGTCTGGGGGCAGGGGGCCCAGAGGAGGAGGAACAGGACAGCGTGGAGACGCGGAGCTCAGGGTGAGGGTGACAAATGTGAAGGCCGTTGACAGGGCGCAGTAGGTGGGTGGGTGGACAACACAGGACTAGGGAGACATATTTGGTGAACAGCATTTCTGTGCCTTCGAAAGATGAAGCCAGATGACTGGAGGACATCCAAGGATGCATCTGGAGTCTGAGGTTCTAGAACAGGAATTGCAGGGAAGAGCCTGAGGTCACCACACATGGAAAGGGAAGCAAGAAGAGAAAGTGGGGGCACAGGCTGAGGATTTTTCAGGACAGGCAGAGGACTTGGGGCCCTGGGGGGACATAGGGACTTTAGGAGAAGCGGCGGAGAGACAGAGGGACAGACAGAGTCCAGGCAGGAGCGACCAGTGAGAAGAGCAGAGAGGGCACCCCATGACCTCAGCAAATGCCCACTGTTGAGCAGTGGGTGGGAACAAAAGAGATGAGAGCAGAAGGGGGGCCATCACGCCTCTTCCTGGGAAGGCAGGGGCAGGGCCTCACCCAGGGAAAGAAGGTTCCGGTAGTTCTCCAGCATCACATCCCGGTACAGCTCCCTCTGGCCAGGCCCCAGCTGGCCCCACTCCTCCAGGGTGAAGTCCACAGCCACATCCTTGAAGGTCAATGATTCCTGCAAGGGCCAATTTTACATGGTGGAGGGGCACATCCTTCTAGAACTCTGGGCCCAGAGAGGTCATGGGTCAAGAGCCTACCATTGCTAGTGGCTGAACCAGCTCTAACATTTCAGGCTGGAACATACGGACTCAGTAGGTTTAATTAAAATGGCCCACAGGAATGTAGAAAATCTGGGGCAGCTACTAGCCCAGAGGTTCCTTGGCAGAAGGTGGAGAAAGCTCCCTTTTGCGTGACTCTTTACTGCCATCTGTTGGAAAGTCTTTATAATATGCCAATTATTTTAGTAAGTCATTGTTTACTGCCATCTGCATGAAAACCACCATTATGTACCAGTGTATGAGGTATATGATGTGAATCCCGCCACTGAGATGAGGCACCCTTGTGCAGTGCACAACCTGCACACCTGTATATGACATCCCTAAGAAACACTTTTTTAAAAACCAAGACATGTGTGCAAGAGTGATAACTAAGTGGCACTCCATCCCAGACCTGCACTGGGATCCCAATCCCCATCCCTGACTCCAAGGATAAGGCTCCAGGGGAAGCAAAACCATCCACTGCCCACCTCTCCCGGCAACTCAAAGTCCGCTGAGCATTAGAGTGGTTTTTAGACCGGGTCATAAAGTCCCAGCTCAGGGCATCCTGCCCTTCCTTCTCTCCTCCTCCCAGCACTTCCCAGGCCCAGAGCCCCTCCTGCCATAGTCTCTTCCCCATGCCTGGGGGGGTGGGGTGGAGAAATCTTCATCCAATAGGCAGAGATGCGAATGGCCCTCTGGGGTCCACAAAATCATCCTGGGGATGGGGAAGCCCGAACTCACCTGGTCCTCAGCCATCAGGATCCTGTGCCCCTTGCAGCGTCCTGGGCATGTGTCTCCAGGAGAAAAGACCAGGCCTGAGTCTGCAGAGCTGGAGGAGGAGAATGGAGCACAAAGAGGGTCAGTTCTGGCCCAGACAGACAGACAGACAGATAAACGTTTTCCCAAAGATGCCTCATAACAGAAGGGACCCTCCATACTAACAACCGCTAGCAATCAGGCACCTCGGCTCACTGCACCCACATAATAGCTCCAAAAGACGACACTAGAATTATCCCGAGAGAAGGAAATTAGAAGAACAAGAGGTCAATGCCCTTGCTCAAGGTCAGAGGTTTCAAGTGTCAGACTGGGACTCACACCCAGAAGTCTGGCTGCAGAGCTAAGCCATCTTTTTATTCTTACTTTTTTTTCCTTGTGGTTAAATGCATATAACATGTAACATAACATCTTAACCGCTTCATTTTTAAAAAAAAGATTTTATTTATTTATTTGTCGGAGAGAGAGCAGAACCAGGAGGAGCAACAGGCAGAGGGAGAAGCGGGCACCCTGCTGAGCAAGGAGCCCGATGCAGGACTCAATCCCAAGACCCCAGGATCGGGACCTGAGCCAAAGGCAGACGCTTAACCAACTGAGCCACTCAGGTGTCCCCACTTTAATCACTTTAAATAATTTTTTTAAATTTATTTATTTGACAGACAGAGATCACAAGCAGGCAGAGAGGCAGGCGGAGAGACAGGAGGAAGCAGGCTCCTTGCCGAGCAGAGAGCCCGATGTGGGGCTCGATCCCAGGACCCTGAGATCATGACCTGAGCCGAAGGCAGCGGCTTAACCCACTGAGCCACCCAGGCGCCCCTTTAATCACTTTAAATGACACAGTTCAGTGGCATTTAGGATGTTCACAATGTTGTGCAACCATCACTACAATCTGGTTCCAGAACATTTTCACCATTGCCCTAAAAGGAAATGTTAACCAGTCACTCCCAAATCTCCCTGTTCTGTCCCAGCCCTCTGATGCCAGCCCCTGAAAACTACTCATCTTTCTTTCTTTTTTAAAAAAGATTTGTTTATTTATTTTACAGTGGGGGTAGAGGGAGAGGGACAGAGTCCTAAGCAGACTCCGCACTGAGCGCAGAGCTCAATCCCATGACCCTGAGATCACCACCTGAGCCGAAACCAATCACTTAACTGACTGTGCCACCCAGGCACCCCTCATCTTTCTTTTTTTTTTTTTTTAAAGATTTTATTTATTTATTTGACAGAGAGAGAGATCACAAGTAGGCGGAGAGGCAGGCGGAGAGAGAGAGCGAAGCAGGCTCCCCACCGAGCAGAGATCCCAATGCGGGGCTCGATCCCAGGACTCCGAGATCATGACCTGAGCCGAAGGCAGAGGCTTTAACCCACTGAGCCACCCAGGCGCCCCTCATCTTTCTGTCTTAATGGATTTGCCTATTATGGACCTTTCCTATGAATGGAATCATATAATATGTGGCTTTTCGTATTCGGCCTCTTTCATTTAGCATACTGTGTTCCAGATTCATTCATGTTGCACCACGTATCGAGTTTTCATTCCTTTTTTTTTTTTAAAGATTTTATTTATTTATTTGACAGAGATCACAAGTAGGCAGAGAGGCAGGCAGAGAGAGAGGAGGAAGCAGGCTCCCTGCCAAGCAGAAAGCCTGATGCGGGACTCGATCCCAGGACCCTGAGATCATGACCTGAGCTGAAGGCAGAGGCTTAACCCACTGAGCCACCCAGGAGCCCAAGTTTTCATTCCTTTTTATGGCTGGATAGTATTCTGTGGCATGGATCTACCCTTTTTTGCAGAGCTCGTTCTTTAAGGAAAAAAAAAAAAAGGTGTAGAGTCCAATGCGGTTCTTGAACTCATGACCCTGAGATCAAGACCTGAGCTGAGATCAAGAGTCTGAATGAGCCACTCAGGTGCCCCTACAGAGCTCCTTCTATCTGCCTTACAAATCCAGCATAAGGATCCTGATCTCTCTTAAGATGTTGTTTGAAGAAATGTCCCACCTGTTGAAATAAAGTTTAAAAGTCCCTGCAAAAAAACCTCCCCAAAAAACAAAAAAACTCTGCCAAAGAAGAATTGGTGTCTGGACTATGGTCACTTCTGTTCCTTCATCAGATACGCTCTGAGACTCATGTGAGAGTGACATGCTCATCTGAGGACAGAATAACGAGCGAGATGAGGCTCTGCCCTAAAGGGGCTCCCCACCTGGTGGGGGAGACAGGCCTGGATATAGGCCGGGTGGTTGGCGGAGCAATGGCCCCACTCTTGTATCTTGTGCGATGAACCTGTGATGTGATTAAGTTAAGTGCCTCTAGATAGGAAGATTATCCTGGATTATCTGGTGGGGCCTAAATGCAATCATAAGTGTCCTTAGAAGAGGGAGGCAGGCGGGTATTTGACCGGGAGGAGAAGGCCAAGTGAGGGAAGTAAAGAGGAGCAGAGTCAGACAGAGAAGACACTGTCTCTCTGGCTTTGAAGCTGGAGGAAGAGGCCTCATCTAAGAAACAAGCAGCTTCTAGAAGCTGCGGGAATATGGCAAGGAAATGGATTGTCCCCTAGAGCCCACAAGGGAGCATCACTCTGTTGATACCTTGATTTCAGCATGGTAAAACCCACTGCAGACTTCTGACCTCCCGAACTGTAAGAGAACACATTCGTGCCGTTTAAAGCCACCAAGTTTGTGGTCACTTGTTAGAGCAGCAACAGGAAACTAAAACAGCCGAGAAATAAGACGCAGCCTCGCACCTGTTTCCAGTTACAGAGGAACGCCAGCAGCTGAAGGCTGAAACCAGTGGGCGAAATTCTGATGAGGAAATGAGAAGCCAAGTCCTACAGACACTCCCCCCATGTCCTCGCAAGTTATTTAATAATCACAAAAAGAAGGTAACTTTAGAGCAGAGACGCCTGGCGGACACCACCGCAGCCAAATGACCAAGACGCACAAGACCTGTGATGGGCAAACACGAGGGGCTCCTGCTCTGATGAGGACACAGCATCGCCCCGCATTTAGGTATTCCCGCCAAACCTAAGTCTAATCATGAGGAAACACCGAACAAATCCAGACCAAGGGACATTCTAGAAGTACCTGGTCTGTAATCTTCAGAATTGCCAAGATCATCAAAATCAAAGAAAGACTGAGGAACTGCGTCTGATTCACGGAGACTAAAGGGCCCTAACAACTTACGCAGTGTGTGGTGTGGGCTTTGCTTTTGCCATTAAGTACCTTACTGGGACAGTTAGCAAAATTTGAGGGTCTGCAGATTAGCTAATAGTTTTTATCGATGTTACTGTCCTGCTGTGTGATCATGGTGCTGTGGTCTTGGAAGATAATGGCCCTGTTTTTAGAAACAAACACAGACTCGGAAGAGGGGCGCGCAGACACACAGAAAGAGGGACTGAACGGGGTTTGGGATGGTGGGGGGGAGAACACAGAGCGATTAGAGACCCAGAGAAAGGGTGGCGTGCTCAGGATAAGGACAGAGACGGAGGGCGTGACTTGCAGAGTACGCGGTGGGCTTTCAGGTCAAACACCCCAGGCCGACCACTGGGACCTGCGAGAAGCCGCGTAATCTGTTTCTTCACCAGCGAAGTATGGAAACGCACAGTCTCCCTCCTGGGAGACCGCACAGTTCCGCGCTCGCTGACTCCTGGCAAACAGCAGGAGCCCAATTCCTGCACGCTGAGATCCTCGGGGTGGCAGCGGCGCTCTGGGGCCGCCTCGCGAGAGATAGGAGGGGGCGGGACACCGCCCACAGCGCGCCCCCAGGTAGGACTCGGGCCCGCCGCCCTGAGCACCCACCAGCCTGTCCCGCTCGGCGGACACCCACCCGCTCCAGCTCCCGGCAGCTAGGTCGGGACTCACCTGTGCGCCCTGCGGGTTGCGGAGGGTGGCCAGGCCTTCCCTCCCTCTGGCGGGCCGCGGAATGCGCCTGCGCGGTAGTTGTATCCGTACTATCAAGCCCGGGTTCTTTAAACGCGACTTCGCAGCTGGACTACATTTTCCAGAAGTCATAGCGGGCTCACGCTCCTCCCGGCCTCAGGTCTCTAAAGCGGGGGAATGTTGGGAAATGGAGTCTGGGAGAACGATGTGGGGCAGGAGGGAACCTGGTATTGAGAAATGTCTGGCTGTACTGACACAGCGAATACACCCATTTTAGCCAGTCTTTTCGCTGCCCTTCACAGGAGGGGACATCATAGCCCATTTAACCCATCTAACAAAGTTACCCCTGTGGTTGAAGTACACAGGACACAAAGAAGTTGGCCCCATCTAAACTGATGGTGAATGAGTTGAGCCTCTGTCACTTAATTACTTGCTATCCCTGGGCATCCGCTTCCTGTTTGCCTCAGTTTCACCGCCTCTTAAAGGGTGGTGTGGTAAGGGAAACAGACCCCTGTAGTGGGAGCCGGGAGATATACGTCCAGGAATGCAAGGATGGTTTGATATTGGGCTATCACAGAATTTGCTAATTGATATATCAAAGTAATACCATCACATCCATGGCTATGAAAAGGGTTTTGAGAACCCCCAGTAATAAGCCATGTCTACATAAACTTAATATATTTAAGAATAGGCCCATCTTGGGGCACCTGGGTGGCTCAGTGGGTTAAAGCCTCTGCCTTCGGCTCAGGTCATGATCCCAGGGTCCAGGGATCAAGCCCCGCATCGGGCTCTCTGCTCATCAGGGAGTCTGCTTCTCCCTCTCTCTCTCTGCCTGCCTCTATGCCTACTTGTGATCTCTGTCAAACAAACAAAATGAAATCTTAAAAAAATAGGCCCATCTTGAATAGTAATGACAATAATTTTATTTATTTGAGAGAGGGAGGACTAGTGGAGGGCGGTGGGGGTGGGCAGAGGGAGAGGGAGAAGCAGAACCCCTACTGAGCAGGGAGCCCAATCCAGGCCCCATCGCAGGACCTTGAGATCATGACTTGAGCCAAAGGCAGATGCTTAACCAACTGAGCCACCCAGGTGCCTCAATAATGACAACAATCT